GGTGTTTTTTCCATCTATTCACCCATTGTGTAGGCTAGCCCTCTCCTTAGATAACTTCCACCGCTTTATGGCCTTACTCGTGCGAGCCCTCCGAGTGATGGATGTGCGAAGGCCCGCCTTTGGGAGGCTAAGGGTTGCTCAGGTCATCGAGATTGGATTCTCGTGTTTGCTGCTGGCTTTCACATCTACATTATCGTCTTGGGTTTGAAATTGAGTAAGATGTGTAGATAGAGTAATGACATGTTATTTAGGCCTCTGGTTCTTTCTAAACCCCTACGAACCCTATGCCCCTAAACCTTTGCAGAAATCTCCCTTGAAGATCTTGCTATGCAAAGCATACCAGGCATACCTGAGCTAAAGCATCTTTCTCCCCTGCTAACCTACAGCCACAATCTTAAGCCCTGATCGAAAAACCCTAAGCTCCCAAAAGAATCGTGCACTCAATCGGCATGTGTTTCAGAGGCCTCACCCTTTCTTGAGCCCCAGAAAACAATGAATCCAACCGTACATTAAGGCCCCCGGATTCTAGACCCGAAGCTCGAAACTCGCCCGAACAACGACAATCCGCACAGGTCCGTGAAGCCTATCCCGGGCCCAGGCAAACGGTCTCTTCAGTGGCAATAATGGGTGGGTTGCGGCTTTAGACTAAGATAAATCGCATCCTTTCAGAGGATTGGGGCTGCAAAGGGTTTCGTGTTGTAGGTGTTGGGATTACGAAGGATGGTTCTTTGCCGTTTGGCTGCCTGTCTAGCTCCATTGCAAGGAACAAGTAAGTCCTTAAGTATAAACATAAGTATGTTTATGTGTAGTGTAGGTGTATGTGTATGTGTATATATATATATATTTATATCTGTGTCAGTATCTATGCAGACATGCATAGAGAGAGTGAGAGATACATATGTGTCCACACAGAATTGCTCATGTGTGTATAAGATAACACGTGTAAACATAACATGTACATGTGTATGTATGTATATATATATATATGTATGCATCCATATGTGTATGTTCTTACATAGCATCACACATACTTGCGACTTGAACAGTCTCCACGCTTGCTTGTCTGGTCTTACATAGTTCATACTGTAGACGATCATGATAAGTGCTAGAAGAGATTCGCTTCGGTACTCCTGCCCTATAGATCCTTTACTACTCCATGAGTTTCGGAGGCCCCGACTTTCACGCTTCGGGGTTTGCTTGCTGGCTCTAGGATTATAGGGTAGCTAGTCGGGAAAGGATTAAATAAAGGCCTGCCCTAACCTTAGAACAAACCCCTGTCGGGAAGTTTCAGCAGTGTCGCCACGCTAGAACCCGAGCCCCGACCCAGTAGAGCTTTTAAGCTTTATATGGGTTCTACAGAGTCTACAGAGGTAGGTTATATGTGTAGGCCCGTTATGTGCTCGCAATAGGCGATCTCTTGGCCTCTTTTACGATATCACAATCGAACTTGTAGATTTGTGGCAGCCCGAACAACCAGCCCCGCACGAATTCCAAAGAAGCCTTTCCTCAAAACACCGAGACCCTATTGACTTGACCCCTAGGCCCCCCGATATTTATTTGTATCTACATCTATATCTATATCTATATCTATATCTTTATCTATATCTATATCT